ATATATATATATATAATATACATGTATTATTATTTGTTTATTTAAGTTCCAAATATCATTCAACACGTTAACTCTGCCGGCAAAGAGAACGAAGCTACTCGTTCCCGAACCGGAGATTGAATTTTCAGCTTTTCTTTTTTTTTTTTAAACTTTTTTAAACGCGCGACAAATTCGACGCTTTTGCCACGCTAGAAAAGAATTCCATCGGCTTCTTCGTTGTGATTCGGTATGAGATTGCTCCGACAATCTTAAGTTAGAGATCCGTTTTTAATCCAGCTTTGATGACCGATTAGCGGCGCTGACACCTCGAATCATCGAAGCTCTTCGTCGGCGGATTATTGCCATTGTAAAGACAAAAAAGCCCGTCTCGGAGATTAAATCTAATTTACGGCTGCAGAACAGGGTACTAACGAAGTTGAAGTCCGATAATAAATTAGATTGGACGTTTTTTGGACGCTAAATCAGAAATCTACCTCTTTACACGCTAAAAAGCCAAGCCGAAAATCAAACTCAATCTCCGAATCTATAATATATGAATCTATTTCGACGTATATATTAACCCTAAACTTGCAAAAGCTAAAGGAGTGAAAATCCAAGATTACGTTATACGTATATATTATAAGGAAATGCAGCAGATAACTCACCAGTACGACAACAAATTCAGCGTTTATTCTTCTACCTCGTCGATTTCATCGTCGCCGCATCGTTCGCGGAGCGAATATTCTAATTTAACATCTACGATGTTTTGAGAAGAGAAACTGCGTTAAATGTTCGAAAGACGATATTTAGGAGGTCGCAAGTGTCCTCTTTACGTATCTTTGCAATGATTTTTAGACGCTTATATATGACTACGCGATTCACACGGTTCCTTACCTCGAACGAAAACGGATATTACAAAATTCTAATAACTTTACGGACTCTATCAGTCAAGTTTAGGGTTAAGTATTTTCATTAAGTATATTATATCATGTTTCGACGATACCAAACACGAAAGGTATCGGTAAACGTGAACAGAGAAACAACGTTCTAACAAACGAAACGCGATAAATCGCGAGCAAAAAACGATCGAGTGGACTGTCGAGTGTAATTGTACTGACTGTTGTTGGTGTCGATGTTGTTGCTGTTGTGTTGTTGTTGTTGTTGTTGTTGTTGTTGGTGGTGGTGGTGGTGGAGGGTGATGGTAGTGACGCTCGTGGGCGGCCGACGGGGTGCGGATGGTCGACAGAGAGTGTGGCCGCTTTACTTGAGTAGCTGATGGGCTCGCTCGTTGGCCACCTGTATCCTCGTCTCGTTCGATTCGCCCTGCGTGTCAAAGAAACAAGAAAAAAACAAGAACGCAATGTCGTATGCGCGAGCTGACGTCGAGGACCGTCGCTTCCGGATCGAGGCTTCCGGAACCGCTCGAAGTTTCTCAACTCTGCGGAACGTGATTTTTTTTTTCCTTCCGGGGGACCTTGAGACCATCCACGCGTCAAAAAGATTTTTGTCGTAGGACCGTAAGCGTGAAAAAAAAACTTTAATAAATATTCGTTTGAATATTTCTAAGTAAATGATTTTACTTAGAAAAAAATGTAAAACATATACATATATATATATATATATTTGTTTGATACAAAAACCATTAATTTGATTTATCTATCATTTTTTATTGGGCAAATATTTATTTACTGTAAATAGATGTTTACTTAGTATTTCTATTCAAAGAAGTATTATTAAAGTTTAATAAATTTTTTTTCAGTGTACCGACCAACGATCGCGTATTCTATACGTACTTTTGATTCTGATTGCTTATGATTACGAATAAAAATTTTTTTTACGTGTGGTGGCCACAGGAGAGCTAAAGCGGTCCCTAGATGCTCAATATCGGTTACAGTTTACTTGATCTTACAAATGATCGAAGCATTTGTAACATTAAGAGGACTGCACTCTTTATCGTATAATTATTTTGTGCAATATTATTGAGATAATATTTTAAACAATTGAAAAGCAACAGTCTGGAAGTTCGATATATTGCAGTTTACCAATAGTATTGTATAATATTAATTACTGAGCAATAATACTGATTGCCTAAGAACTGCTTAAAAGATTCTTGGAACATTTCGCTTGTAACGTCGACGCGCTTTCGTATTGTAGGAGGAAACAAGTATCGATTGCGGGAACGTCAATTTAGCGCGGAAATGTTTTCGCGCTGTCACAGAGAATTTCGTCAATGTTATCCACCGTAAACAAGTGAAATAGATTAAGAAGAGTTTAATTCGAAAATTGTTTCGCTGAATTCGCGGATCGCGTTTCGCCATAACAAATCGATTCCCGTTCCACTACCGAAGCGGTGCTGGTTTCGCTGCGACAGCAAGACGCGTTCGCCAAGAATAGATTGTTCCATTTTGGCCGTAGATTCCAATTTATAAATTGATTCGGCATTTTTCTATTTTACCAATAAAAGTCTTCGTGAATAACGTCGGATAATCGTTACAGCGGGATTTATTTTTTGTTTTACTTTAAATAAGCAATAAGTTTTCGCGACAGTAATCTCTTTTCCTTAATTCGCGATAAGGCTACACTGAGGAAAATATTTAGTTAAAGATGAACAAACCAGATAATTTGGATTTAAATAGAATCTTGTGGTTTGTGTTCAGTTTCAACCAAACATTTTTTTTTCAGTGTATTTTCAGATTCTCACTTAAGTGCCATTCAGGTATTATTTTAGCCTTGTTGTTTACATGAATGTTAAACAAGGAGAACATGAACCTGGGGAGGTCTCAGGTGGGAATTTGAATGTACCCAAGATTAGAGACCCTATAACAGAGAGAGAGAGTCTAACCACGAGAGATCTTATCAAAATTTTACGGGAGAGAAAGGTGTATATATATATATAGTCTCTGTATACAGACTGTTTTCATTCTAACTTATACTATTACACTTTAATCTTAATTAAGATTATAAAATGAGATAGCATAAATTAAAGTGAGATAGTATATATACAGTCGGTATAAAACGTTATACAGTCGGAAAATTTGTGTTAAATTTAACACGGTTCATGTGTCCCAAACGGGCCATTCAAATTGCGTTAATTTACCACGAAATGAATGTGTAATACAAGTGATACGAATATTATGTAAATAAATTAACACAAAAATACTGACGCAGTTTGTAAGCATACTGTGGAAGCAGTTTTTTTTTTCGTAAAAATTAACATTTATAACATGTTAAATTAAATCTTATTTTATTCACACAATGGAATTTTGAAGTACATTATTTTTATATTATTTATTCATTCATAAATTGTTTTGACACTGACTGAAGAAATGTTAAATATCAATTTGAAACGGACAAAAACACAATCGCATTGCGTTAAATCACATAACGTTGAATTAACATTTGAATATGTAAAAAATTCAACGTAAAATTTTAGACAGAGAGATGTGAATGGGTCATTTTTAATACAAATAAAAATTTTGACAAAATCGCTTGCGATCAGACTCGGTTATAGAATTTCTACGAAAGACCAAGAGCCAAAAGCCTACGCGGAAAATTCTCCAAGAATCTCATTGTCAGGTCTCTGCGTACATCGTGCAGGGCTAAATAGTCGATACGACCCTGGCATATCGGCGAAATCCACGCGAACCACCGGGAAAAATGAAATTCGCATGCTGCTCTTCCGCCACGTGTCAAGCGTGTTAACCCCGTATCGACCCCGTTGGAGCATTGGAGCGAAAGCGGTCGAGAACGGTGCGGTTCTGACACGGGGTTCAAAGGGATCAACGAGAGGCATTCCGTTGCCTGTCGTCGACGGCGACGTCAGTTCGTGACACACAATCACAACGAGAGTGACAGTACGTGTGATGGACCTTTCAACAACGTGTGTACAGGGAGCGATGACACATCCCAGTGCGATGCTTTTACCGCTCGCGGTAGCCGCGGCACACCACGCTTCTGCTAGCCGAAATAAAATCTCCAATCGATACACAATTTACGAATCGTCCAGAATTATCTTGAAAGAATGGAATATCAGGTCGTAATCGATTAAAAGGCAATTAGCTCATTGCCACAGTGAGTTAACGGACAAATTCAATGGATCTCTGGAAAGTCGGATATCTGTGAAGTTGGCACGACATTCCGTTGATATAAAAGAAATAATGACAGTTCCAGTTGTCAATTTTTTTTTCGCAGTTTTACAGAAATCTTATAAAAACGAAACAGACTTCCGTATTTTTTATACCAATTGTAAGAAAGCAAAAAATTGAGATTTAATATAAAGAAATAATGACGGTTCCAGTTATCATTTTTTTTCCCCCATAGTTCTACAGTTCTTATAAAAATGAAAAAGAGCTCCATATTTTTTTACACTTCAGTTACACAAGAAACCGAAATTGAGATCCGGTTAGCCCACTGTTTCCCATCGCTTTAATTTTCAAATTTATTCTCTCTCACTCCATTTTTCTAAAAGCTCTTCGATTGATAATTACAACAATTATTAATCGACAAAAAACAAATTCCCTTCCGATGATTCCAGATCCATTGATTAGCCTCGGTGATTAACAGGCGGGACACCGATCGTTCCTCGATGTGTCCACCCTCGCCACCTCAGCGTGACACATTCGAGAAGGCTCAAGTGCACGAGGTGCAATTTAGCCAATTTTTCTCGACGTATCTGGAATCGATCTTTCTCTAACAAAAAGGAATGCAGAGACACTCGTAGCTTTTTATTCGTGAAAGAAGACAACAAAGATTTTTTAGTAACGCGAGAGT